ACTCATATCAACATTCACTTTATTAGGGAACACCACATGATGAGCTTTTCTAGTTCTGACCACAAGACCATGAACATTTATTATTTACGACTGGGCAGTGGGCTCTTCTTGAAAACCAATTAGGGCCTGTAAGGAATAAGTGTGTGAAAACTTTCGTGCACGCGGCAATTGCAGATCTATGTGATACTTGTCGACTTCAGGTGATATTATTTATGGTTATATTTTAGTTCTCAGCTTTGCCTTTTCCTCCTTGTGACTGCAAGTTGCATTTCAACATGCACCAGGGTGTCAAAATCCCTGCAATACAGAGTGAAGCAAGCTCACATGAAAGGAAGAATCGTAAGAAGGATCATTTACTGCATTTGTTGTTCAAGCGCCTACCTAGACAGAACAACAGACAAGGTAAGCAATATGCGTATTCCCTAGCACTGCCTCCTCCTCTACTTTTTATGCCAAACCACTTTACAGATTCCAGCATTTCATGTTTCTTACTTTGACAGAGCAACCATAACAATGAATCAACAAATTCCAATAAAGAAAAGTGCCAGCTAAATAATTGAAAATCCATCAGATTTGAAACTCAAGATCATTGTGAAGCATGGCAAGAAGGAAGATACAGAAAATCATCCAAACTCTTGTTCTTTTCTCCTATTTGAAGCAACTAACAGATAAAATAGAAGGAGCTTATACCAACTTACTAGAAAGGTCAAAATCTCACCATCTCCTATTGATCCTTCGATAATATCTTCCTCCCAAGCCTTTTTAAATAAATCATCAAACTGCACTGAGTACACATTCTGCAGCGAAGACAAAATTGGCATGAAAATGTGATGGCATGATTAGCCTCTACACTATCATAAACTTATTAAAATTTAGAAGAAGGTAGATATAGAACTAAAAGTAAATGGAGAAAATCCAACTATAGATCACAAGTGTTACAGCTTTTCCATCTGACAACTACATGAACGATGAGAACGGTGAACCAATCATTTCATAATTGTTGTAATTCACACCACAGTGATCCAGTCCGCCTCTAGATGTTTTCTAACCCCTTGTGGCATCACACGACAGTGATAATAGCATATCAAATTTTTGGTCTTATATAAAGATCATACATTAAATAGGGCCGTCAAATTAATCATAGCTCTCATGCTCAATCAGAAAAAGGAGAGGCGCAAGACTGCCACCAATCTGGGGCTTAGCGAGGGTCATTATCTGCAGCCTTTCTCCCACAATCAGAAAAGAAGTTTCCATAACTCTAAAACTCAAAAATTTGACACCCAAGTCATGGAAGAGAAATCTTTCTGATGCCAAGATTTGTGTTACCTTAACGATATCACGAGCAATTATAACGAAACAAACTGACACAGAAGAGAAATGTCACCGTGATGCCAATGTTAAGTGTTGCACCAATAATATCACAAGCAATCATTACAAGAAAAATTCTCCAAACATATTAACAAGCTCTGGTTTCATTATGATCCATGACAGTTTTGCACTTCAATCATTAGGTGGGAGCCACACAATCAGAACAATGAAGATGACCTACCAAGGATTTCAAGATAACCACAAACCAACTTTCCATAGTATAACTGTTCAGGAGAGAAAATGCTTAATAGCTAAGCATCGACGTACCAAGTCATCATCCATCAAATCCTTCTTTGCTGCAGAGATTTTCTGATCGGTGCATGTCCAATGGCAGGGATATTTCTTGAAAAATTAAAGGTAACAGCATCAGGTGATGTGCTGGCAACTGGAGATTAACACTAAGAGAGTAGTGGAGTGACTAAATCAGTACCTTAAGATCACCTAAATCCAGTCCCTTCTTAAAGCTAGGAGGAACAGTCTCAGCAGGACCCCCATCGAGAACTTTGCGAACCCATTCACCGCTAAGAGCACCTTCAGGAGGGTTCCTCGCCAAAGCTTGAGAACCATCAAGGCCACCCGGTCGGAACGGACGACTGTTGGTGCTACCCCTTACAAAGTCCTTCGCTGGTCCAGGCATTCGTGGCATCGATCCAGAATCTTGGGCTCCTTCCATCAGCTCAGCCACATCTACCTGGAATAGAACAAACAAGATACTTACGAAAAAGAAAAACGTTGCCACAACTTCCATACAAGAAAGATGTTATGATGCGAGGAAAAAGCGGGGAAGATAAAAGACCATCCCCAGATACCTCCACCGAAGAGGGATTCCAGATTCCCGAAGGGCCCGTATTCTTGGAACGTCTAAAAGGCAACTCCCACGAGGGGGCCACAACGGAACGCGGGGCCGACGGCTCCAGCGGGACCTTCGCCCGGCCAAACCAATCGAAGTCCCAAAACCGCCCAGAGTTCTCCACGGAGAACTCGTCAGGGTCCAGCTCCGGGCGAAGGTAATTGTCCTCCAGATACTCCTTCAAGCTTTCAGGCGTTTCCGGAGGAAAAGCCGGCGGCTACAACCAAAGAAGACGATTATTTCTTCATCTACGGCGCTCGAGAACTTGGGGAAACAACATAAAAGCGCCACATCAACGTAAAAGAAAAGGCGCCAGCCAATCCGCGGTGCTCAAGAACATCGAGTAACGATAATGAGTTGTTCACATACCGACGAAGAAAACGACCAGTCAATCGGCGGAACTACGCAAGAAACTGCAAGATTGGTGGTTTGCGACGATTACAGAAGGGGAAATGAAGGAGGAGAACTCACGAGGATGAAATCGGGGAGAGAACTCAAGGGGGTGGGGCGCTGGACCGGCGGGAGCGGCTCGAGCCGGAGGTGGCCGCTGTAGCCGGTAAACCCTACCCGGAAGGCGACCTCGTTGGTCGCCTCGACGCGCTCCATCGACGGATCGTTATTCGGCTCCGCCGCCGACTCCGCCGGTGCTGTCCGAACAATGACCCTAGCTTGCTTTCGCTTTCTTTCTTTCTCTTTCTTTCTTTGAGGCGTCGCCTCCCGTAACTCCGGCGCGGTTTATGCACCGAAGCCGCTGCTGCGTCAGAGAAGGCAAAGCAGTAACAACGGGACGCCTCACCCTTTTCTTATGCCTCGCCACTTTCGGCTGCCGTTACCCTTTACTTGTCCATGGCGTCTTACTTATAGGCCGGTTTTAAACCTAAGGTTTGGGCCGTATTTGGGCCATAATTGGGCCATCTAAAAGCCTATAATTATGTGTTTATCTTTGTAAAGATTGGGTTTTTAATATTATTAGTATGATGATATTTATAATATAAAATACAATTATAGACATATTTTTTTAATATATATTTTAATATAAAATATATAAAATATAATTATTGAAATATATAAAATACTCGAGGGATTGAGTTATAAATGATATTAATATCAAATTGAGTTATTGGAGCAAACACAATTGATTGATTACCGAAACTAATTAGTGGAGGTTTTTCTACCTAAATTGTAAAAGAAAAAAATCTATTAATTATCTATGAAGGACTTAAAAGTATAATTTATATATTCTGAGCTCGATTAACTATTCAGAGTATTTGAACTCGTTCAGCCTCTACTTAATTTCCGACCCATATGAATTCTAATTTCAGCTGACGGATCTCCTAATCTTAATTGACTGCATTATTCTTCTCTCGAACAAACACGTTGAGCTCACTTTCCTTTTCCTGCAAACTACGCCATCATCCCTTCATTCTCACTACGGACAGGCGCTTCCCAACCATTGTTTGAGCGTGGACGATGCAACAGGCAACGAAACAGCATGCCCACAAGTCTCCTTGCGACCGCTGGTCTTGGTTCAGATCTAGGTGCCATAGGAAAGCATTCCGAGTGCTCCACGGATAATGACAGATGTTATATATATTTAGCAAATCACTAATTAAGTATCCCATTTATATATATATAAAGCTAATAACCATGGCAAATGTCTATGATGAGATATTCCAATGGTTAACACATTATTGTGTAATCCATTCGTTTCACGTGGAATGGTTAATTATCGTTAGTAATTCGATCCTTATATTTTAAAAAATTATATTTATATTTTTTTATAATTATAAAAAAAATATTTAGATCAATTTATCGTCGATTTTACTAATGAAAATACGAAAATAAAAAAATAAATATATAATTTTAATGTTTAAGTTGATAATGACAACGTCAGTGGTGGTGAATGACGAGAAGTGAGCATCAATCTGTATCTATGTCGACGCTGATACAGATAAAAGCGACGAAATGGTCGTTTGATAATTGTGTCGACGTCGACATATATGTAGAGTAGTCCTCACATTTTGCTATTACTCTTATCCACAATAATCACCCACGGCCGATATCATCGTTCCCCATTACTAACTAATACATTAAAAATATATTTTTTACCTATAGTTTTTATATTTTTATTAATAAAATAGATAATATTAGAATAAATGGACATAGATAATTTACTTTCGTAACCATACAAATACCGATGTAACTTTTTAAAATATAAGGTTCGAGATATTAAAAGAAGTTAATAATGAGTCCCATGTGTGATAAAATATTTCAATCTTATATTATTTATTTCGCTTGCTATGTTTTTTCTTATTGTTTTACATGCAGTCCAAGTCTTTGACTATATTTGAAGGACAGGTTACTTAATCCTCCTACTACGGAAGACCTGATCAAGAGTTATGCTCTAAGGTTCAGTCGGCAAGAAGCTAAATCTGAGATGTATGTATGTGTGTGTTTTTTGATGAGTAGCAAAAAAAAATGATTAAGATAAGAAGATCCATCTTTTACGAAAAGAAAAATCCTTCAGAAATGCTCTATTTCATCTGATGGAAAATGACTTGCGACTCACAAGAAGTGGGATCCAGAAATGCTCGACATGGAGAGATATATGACCTTTATGTGGGATTCAAGAAATCTAGATGTATTCTCCCTGTTTATTCTACCAAAACCTTGTTTGCCAAGATTCCTCCCCGCACCTAAGATCAAAAACGACTCAGCAGCTACATTTTCCAATCCCTTTATAAGCTCCTGTTGCCTTCTCACTCCATGCAACCTTCCCAATACAGGAAGAGCGAGAGGGATAGGAAGCACAGAAGAAATGGAGTCTTCTTCTTCGTGGAAGGCTCTACTCCTCATGGTGTTCTTCCTGCTTCCTTTGCTGGCACAGGGAATGACTCGACACTACAAGTTCGATGTGAGTATCTCGACTTAGCATCAGTTTCCAAGCCCTTCAATCTCCAACATATACAGTATGGATACACATCTCATACGTCGTAAAAGAAAGCATACGAAGTGAATAATAGCTTTCTTATATATATATAGTACCGTACGTATCCTATTAATTAACCCATGCAACAGCGCCACTTCATCTTCCTGCTTTAATTTGATGGTGGGTGCAGGTGGTGGAGAAGAGCTTCACTCGGCTCTGCTCGACCAAGTCCATCGTCACCGTGAACGGCCAATTCCCGGGGCCAACTCTCTACGCAAGAGAGGACGACACGGTGGTGGTCAAGGTCGTCAACCGCGTCAAGGTCAACGTTACCATCCACTGGTGAGCAGTCTCCATCCACGCCACCGTCGAAATCTCACCTGCAAGCTTAACCACTGCTCGAGCAATCTGTATGAGCCCCCACTGCGTCGAACATTGGATCAAAGACTCATACGAGTGGGGTTGATTGCAGGCATGGAGTTAGGCAGCTGAGGACGGGATGGGCCGACGGACCGGCATACATCACCCAGTGCCCGATTCAGCCAGGCCAAAGCTACGTCTACAACTTCACCCTCGCGGGGCAGCGAGGCACGCTCCTGTGGCACGCCCACATCTCATGGCAGAGAGCTACGGTTCATGGCGCCATCGTCATCCTCCCCAAGCGCGGTGTTGCGTACCCCTTCTTCCCCACGCCTCATAAAGAGGTGGTGCTGGTCTTGGGTAATCATAGCTGAGCTCATCCGACACACGGTACTCCTTCGTTATGCGTCTTGGCATCAGAATGCAGATTGATCGGTTTGCTTCGATTTGATCTCAGCGGAATGGTGGAGATCGGACGTCGAAGCTGTGATAGACGAAGCCATGAACTCGGGTCGTGCCCCCAATGTGTCCGATGCCCACACCATCAATGGCCATGCGGGGCCCGTCTCCGGTTGTGCTTCTTCAGCGCAGGGTAAAGTATTCGAGACGCTATAAGAAGATATCTGGAAGGAGATGAGATCTGAGTCGGACATTGAACTGTGATCGCAGATGGGTTGACGGTGCGGGTGGATAAGGGCAAGACTTACCTGTTCCGCATCATCAACGCAGCACTCAACGAGGACCTCTTCTTCAAGGTCGCCGGGCATCAGCTCACCGTCGTGGAGGTGGACGCCACTTACACCAAGCCCTTCACCACCGACACTCTGCTCATCACTCCCGGCCAAACCACGAACGTCCTCCTCACCGCCGACCAAGGCGCCGGCAGATACCTGGTCGCTGCCTCCCCTTTCGCGGACTCGCCGCTGGTCGCGGTGGACAACAGGACGGCTACGGCCACCGTGCAGTACGCCAGCAGCGTATCCGCCTCCGCTGTGGTCACCACCACCAAACCTCCTCCTCAGAACGCCACCCCCGTGGCGTCCAGCTTCGTCGACACCCTCCGCAGCCTCAACTCGAAGCAGTACCCCGCGAAGGTACCACTGATGGTGGATCGCTCCCTTCTCTTCACCGTGGGCCTCGGAGTGAACCCATGCGCGACCTGCACCAACGGGAGCCGAGTGGTGGCGGACATCAACAACGTGACCTTCGTGATGCCGACGACGGCGCTCCTCCAGGCGCATTACTTCAACACGAGCGGGGTGTTCACCGATGATTTCCCGGGGCAACCGCCTATAGCTTTCAACTACACCGGCAGCGGCCCGAGCAACATGCAGACGATGAACGGGACGAGGCTCTACCGCCTGTCTTTCAACGCTTCGGTGCAACTTGTTCTGCAGGACACCGGCGTGATAGGACCGGAGAGCCACCCCATCCATCTACACGGCTACAACTTCTTCGTGGTGGGAAGGGGCGTCGGCAACTACGACCCCAAAACATCTCCCTCCAAGTTCAACCTCGTCGACCCGGTCGAGCGAAACACCATCGGCGTTCCCACGGGAGGATGGACGGCCATTAGATTCAGGGCGGACAACCCAGGTAGGTTCACATGTCCGCACGTGGTAAAGGCCTGATGGCACAGCTTGAGTCCTGACGAGGTGACTGATGGATGGATGGATGCAGGTGTTTGGTTCCTGCACTGTCATTTTGAGGTGCACACGTCGTGGGGGCTAAAGATGGCGTTCGTGGTGGACGACGGCAAGGGCACCAACGAGTCGCTGCTGCCACCACCGAGCGATTTCCCAGCTTGTTAGCTACGGAATAGTCATCCATCGAGGAAGAGAAGACGAGGAAGCAACTCAATGGAAGGCAGCGAGTTGCGGACATGTCGTCGAGGCTTTGCTTTGTTGTTGCATGAATGTTTTGTTGTTTGGGCTTGCGTTTAATTTGCGGCGATGCACGTCTGAATTGTTTATGGACCAAAACAGCCTTTTTTGTTTTTGGTTTTGATTGTACGAATTTAAAGTTGATGCAATAATTAACTATATGCATATTTATTATTATTATTATTATTATTTTTCTTTGGTCCATCAATCTCACATATGGAAGCTTGTCTTCTCCCCGTTATGGATTTCGAAGAAACGGAAGAGGAATAAAATATAAGAAAGAAAGAGGAATTGGGATCCGTTCGTTCCCTTCTCGTCTTCCTCTTTCGGATAACATATGCTAATCTCGACCTGAAGTCCTAATCATCTATTGCTCATGGATTTGCGTGGTTCCAAAGAAATATCACAAAGGCTTTCAGAAAGTGGACATTGACATCACCGTATTGCGCCTGCATCGTTGTCGATGTTTCCTTGTCGCCTTTATTTCCAGACTTCCATCCATGTGGTGGCATCTGCAGGTAGAAGAAATTGTGGTGATTTAGGCCTCACAAATACAGCGAAATGGAAAATTAAGAAGATTCAAGGCAGCAGTATAGCATGATTGCACATCCTTGTCAAGCTTTTGCGATGCGAACCACGGAGCTTTCTTCCTTTTTTTGGCAAGACCACAGCCATGATCGGAGAGCTTTATACTTTCAGACAACTTTGTCTTCCGGAAGCATTCTGATTCCGAGTTCCCTCCCTACTCCCTACTCCACTGGCACAAGAGGACTCCCAGCACTGTTCATGGAGGAAGAAAGAGGTGGAGATGCAAAGCAAAACAGTGGTTATCGAGATAAAGGTGAAAGCAAAATGCAGTTAAGAAGTTTAACCAACAAAGGCACGTAGTTACTACAAAACGACAGAAAACAGAAAAACCAATCGCTGTTCATCCCCTACTTGAAATGATATTGTCAATCTGCGTACATGACCGCTTGCTACACTGATGCTACATATTGACTTGTATGGCAACACTTTGAGACACAGCTTCCTCTCAACTAGTATCATGATTCAGATAAACAGATCATAGAAGGCAGCTGAGATCACAGAGTTAGCAAGAACCCAAGGGCAACGCGGTCTTCTTCGTGGTGACATCTCCCCAGAGAGGATGTCCCGATGCTCGAAAGAAAGATCAGCACTTAACAAGCAATAAAATAATAGATTTGGCAGAGGTGCCGTGACAGAATCAGCACTTACCACGTGATAAACCCCTGTCAGCCGATCAGAAAGCTCATCGGCTTTCAGAGAAGAAGACAGCTTATTATAGTACTGGCTGCACAAATTATCAAATTGATACAGACAACACATATAGACGTGTTCATCACTGGCGCCACCGTCGATCCTAATCGGCGATAGAGTAGGGCAGAAGGAAACAGCAAAGGCACAGTATGTAGCACTCAGGCTGGATACAGAGGTATCACGGTCTCTGGGCAATCTGTTCGTTTTCCAGCAAGAGAGTAGTAAGCCAGAATTTGAGCCTGACTCTCGATATTGCCTCGCCTGTCTTCGATTCCATCGGCATCCTGTCTCGGAGGTATAAATTCTATGTTCCAGAAGTCACGCGCCATGGCCAAAAGGTCGCGGCCCGTAGGGGATGCAACGTATCCCTGAACCCATAGATATCTCAAGGAAGGTAGCTGCAAAGCTGCCATGGCTAAAGCACGCTCGCTAAAACAGCAGCTCCTCAGCTCTAGCTTTTGCAGGCGTGGGCATCCCCGTGAAAACAGCTGCATTCCACGGTCGGATTCCCCAACATTACCCATCAGTATCCACCGTACGTTGTTGCTATATTCGCCAATGTAACCGAGACCTACGTCTGAGAGACCTCCAGGTCTCAGATAAACAGCAAGTCTCCTGAGCTGGGTGCATCCTCTCAGCAGAGCACGGACCCCATTGTCAAGGGGCAAGTCTGTTATCCTCTCTTCTCTGTCGAGTAAAACAAGACGAAAATCGCATAGGTTTTTGCTGAAATTGCCAATACACTCAAGAGCTGCATTTGTGATATCGGAGACATATACTGCCAGGTATTCCAATTCAAGGCATCCCTGTGCTAGAGTCGACAGACCAACCTGGGAAACCCGACCCTGTTCATCCTCTAGACCCTGTTCATCATCCCCTCGCTCTATTCTGAGCCTTCGGAGTTTCTTACATGTCTGAGCGACAACCTCTAATCCTCTATCACCAATCACATTCCTCACCTGCCAAGGTAAAAAAAGGTAGTTTCAGTTCATCAGCTCGAAAGTTAATGGAATGAGGTGATAGCAGGAGCTATGATATATGCTACCTCAAGAACTTCCAGATTTGGACAACGTTGGATCAGCTGACAATGATCCTCAGTGCTGAGAAATGTATACTGCAAGTCCAGCTTCTTAAGTGCAGCAGCAAATGGAAATAATATGTCCATTTCATTCTTCCCCATATAGATGAGGCCTATGCAACATAGCTTGGGAGGAAACTGGATCTTCTTATAACTATCAACTTCTCCAACTTGATCATTGAATGAACCCCCGCCAAACTCTTCCAATGACGTTGCAATGCGGAAAAAATTAACCAAATCAGAAATGTCACATTCACTGATCTTCAAGGAAACCAAGGACCTGCAATTCTTAGCAAGTAACTCGAGGTCCTGTGGTGTAACTCTGAGTTCTGTCATATAGAAATTCAAAGTCTCAAGCACAGAATTATTAATAGCAATTTCATGAACCCATTTGCCATCATTCTCAGTAATTGAGCTTTCTTCCAAAAACAATGTTCTAAGGCATCTGCGAGTACAAATTAGTAAACCAAATCAGTTGAATCATCAGATGATGGAGGAAACCAACGATAAGTAGTCAGTTGCACCAGAACATGATGTTTCCAAAAGGTCAGTACCACTGAAGATGTAAAAGTACTCATCATGATGAGATACCCAAGGATCTGCTTGTGAAAGATAGCCTAGCGGCAACTACCACATAGAAGCAAGGCTAGATTATCTGGTTTAACAGTGTTGACTAAACTGTTAATTAATATTAGATTCGTGCACACAAGACCATATAGATACACAGATATGGGTGGGTGTATATGCTGACACAACATATAACGCCCAGGCATACATGTAAAATTATACACATTTATTTTTGCACTTACAATCCTATGTTGTCTTTTTTATAAAATAAACCCTCATTCATTTAAACCTTCTAGTCCTGATAATGATCCAAAATTCTATTAATAATCCTTGGCATTAAGTTCCATCAGTCAAGTTAATGAATAATTTACAAGCTGACTTAAACTTGATCTAGACTGTACAATAAATAGTTGGGAGTAGTTGAAAATTTTGTATCCCCCTATAACTGAAAAAATCCAAGAGTCAGTGTTATGGTCCGCCAGTAAAAATTAATAATCAAATAGCATCAAACCGAGTCAACTTGATAAAGACAGTACCATATTTGAGGAAAATTTAAAAATAGATTAACATCCCCTGAGAATATTGCTCGACAACTATATTGCACTAGAAGAGTTTCTCAAAAATTTCCACCTTTCTTGAGGCGAAGGAGTAGGTTACAATTATGCCCACAAGACAAAACACCCCTGTAGTTGGCATAGTTGTATACAAACTAGGCAAGATATTGTGCTTCTACAAAGATCCAATATGAGTAAAGCAATTGGCACAGTTAATGACATCGGAGGCTCTACTTTGACATGGAAGAGTGTAACAACAAGCTACAAATAAGTATTGCTGAAGAAATATATTTCCCCTGGATTAGATGGCTGAATATGTACCATGTACAACATCTGATGCAGCCTAGGACTGGTACATCAGATTTCAGCTGATAAGAGATTTGATCAGCCACTAACCTCAGAAGGCTGCTCCAAGCTAGAAAAGCATCTAAGGGACATTACGAGCAAAGTAAGGCATAATAAGCAGCTTCAGTTACAAACAGGAGATTCTTCCAAAACAGAAATCTGTTGGCTCTTGTAGCATACGAACAGCAGCCCAGCTGCCTCTTCTACTTGAAATCAGCATGTCGTAGTAAATTTAATTCTGTTGTGTGTGAATTCCAGAAGATAGGAACGAGGGAAAGAGATGAAGAGAAAGAAATGGGAGAGGGAGAAGATCGGGAAGAAGACACCTAGCTTGGCCTAGTAGAAACTGTAGCCAATTTTGTTATTTCCAAAATATCCAACTAATATGAACGGGCAAATGCCTGTCATTTAAGAAGATCAGTCCGTAAAGAGCCTTTTCCTTAAAAAACCGACTAAATACAGTTAAAACCATCCAATTAATGGAACAACCTAGAGTTTGAGTCTGACTCGAACTCTTTTATGAGCCATTTATGAGCCACCATATCCAGATGTTGGCTCATTAAGCCAACCAAAGATTACTCATGCCAGATCTCAAACTTTACTATTAATCTAACTACACCTCTGAATAAAAATTTAACCAAACCCAATCTAACATCTAACTAACGCCAAAATAGATGCCTTCATGGCTGTCAAAGGCAGAGTATGGTTGCATCAACACCACAAGACATCCTACTAGTATTCTTTGTGCAAAAAGCAAGATTATCATGTATATGATGTTAAAGGCTCTACTGCAATGTAAAGGAATATGGCAACAAATTACAGAATAAGGAAAATTCTTCATGGCTTAGTTGTTCAGAAACACTAAACTAGTATAAAGGTAGACAAGGCTGATGCAGAACTATAAGCTATCCATAATATTTCCCAATTTGCCATGATGCAAAAATCTTAGTGGATTTTCACATGGGCAGCTAAAATACTCAGAAAGATGAACTGTCTTGCTTTTCTGCCTACCATCAAAGAAAGTTGACAATTTTACCAAAAGATATCTTAATGTAGAAAGCTATGTCCTTTAATATTTATTTCACGCCTTTGTACTTGATGATTTATTTTACATCTTTGGAAACAGAACTAGTTGGATAATGAAGATACATTAAAAAACTCACCCTTGGTTAAGAAATTCAGGAAGAAAGTGAACGTCAAAGTGGAACTCAACAGTACGCATCAGACTATAAAGGGAATGTCAAGGATATAAGCAAGATGAGATTTCCAATAAAGAATTAAGTTGCATGCATTTAATGTTTGACAAAGGTGATGAAAGAAATTAATTTGAAAAAACATCCAAGATTAAACTGGAGGAAATTTAGACTTATTCTGTCATGGGACCAAGAGAGATATGACTAGGGTCACCAAACTTGGCCAAACGAAGAGAGATATGACTATTTAGAGGTAACTTTAGTGTGGAAAACAATTTGTTTTTTGTCAATATTTTTGCTCTACTTTGAATTTTATCCATCAGCCTAAAAGACTTTACCCAGAATAAACAGCAACGGAAAACCAAGTACGTATAGTAAATTGTGGCCAAGAGATCAATGTGGAGACCATCAACGGAGATATCCAGAAAAATTATAAAAGAGCAATCAAGATACCAAAAAGAGTATAAACATTTAGGGAGCACAGCAAATTCTGAACTATATCAAACTGCCTTGCATGGCGTTACCTGTACATATCTGAACTCATAACTTTGCAACCGAAGTGTGTTATGCACAACGAGCACCATCAAGATAACTAGATATAATTATCATGCGAAGTTTTCGGCCTCCATTTCACACAGTCATTCTTCTTAATGAAAAGATATACAATACTATAAATTATCACAGACTGTCGTTAGAAGTTATGACAGGAAATTCCAGAAGATAACAATCGTTACTACTGCTACAACAATACAGAAAAGATCAATTCCAATTCAAATTATGATACACTGTCATTCAAAATTACAAAATAGATTGTTTCAGTGTATAGTTGAGTCTACATTCCTGTTAGTACTGTAATTTCCAGCTACCAATATACACGACGCAGCAGGACGTGCTCCGAAATCATTATGATGACTGTTCTAGAAGTTATAACTGCCAGTCTGACACTATTACAAAATTTTGTATCTTATCTTTGAAAGGCCAAAGCCTTCTATGTGCCACAGATAATAGCAGAAGGAAATTTTTCCGTAGACATCATAGGAAGAAATGACTATAGAATCACTTAAATTATATGGAAGGTATGTCTCCATTACTATGCGGGAGACATGTTTACAATTGCAAGGTTTAGCATATCCATAGCAGAAGGAAATTTTTCCGTAGACATCATAGGAAGAAATGACTATAGAATCACTTAAATTATATGGAAGGTATGTCTCCATTACTACGCGGGAGACATGTTTACAATTGCAAGGTTTAGCATATCCATATTATAGCCATCCTAAAATCTACTTGGACATGCTCTACGAACCAAAGACTCTTGCTTGCACCATCAGTCGGTGAATTAAGAAAGTACATCAGACCATAAATTCAGTAACAAATGAGTAGCTTATTTATGAAAGGATTCATGCTTTAAAACTTTAGAGATTGCAGAAAACACCCAACTAAATTGTTGAGAAATATTATTCTATAGAAGATGAATAATATTCTTCTACTAATGGACAAAAAAGGTCTTCAAGTTTGGAGCATAAAACGGGAATTTTATCTACTTGAAGGTGATTTGACATGATATTGTAGCATCACAAACATAAACATGACAATCACATCATGGAATTAATGCCAATTTCCTTTGTGTGAGGATGATGGTAACTGTGCTAGTGCAATGGGTATGCAAACATTAGAATTGACATGAAGGACACAAATGTTTGTAATTTGATATGTTATAATCCATATTCCTGATGATGCATACCTGCCTTTCTAACAGAAGAAAGTGCGTTCCAGTAAAAAAAATTCACAGTCGACAACTACTTCAACTCAGAGCAATTGGATCTTACTACCCCAATCCAGTAACACTCTAGAGCAATATGATATTATAATTACAAGCCCTTGACTAAATCAAACAAGAAGCAGTCAAAGACTAATCTATTGGAAGCTAGATGTATTTTGGGTGCGGAGATATAATTTGTTGCAGGCTACCAAGCGCGACGGACCAATCTAAATGTGCTCAAGCACCATATATTGCAGATCAAGGATAAAGTAAATATATCAAAACGGAAAGAACTTCTAGAAAGAGGGCAAATAAAGGGCAGTGAAAACTAAATAAAGATTCAGTCAACTAAAAGAGTCGTACCTGCACGAACGCGCAACCAGGAAGAGGGCATCTGTGGAGAAGCCAGAGCACTTGTCGAGCTTGAGCGACTCGAGCATATGACCCCTGGCCTTGACCAGCACGCCGATATCGTCGTCCTTGACGATCATCCGCCGGAGGTGCAGCGACTTGAGGCAATTGAATGCCTTGGCGATCTCCCTGACCCAAGGCCCGGCATACCCACCCCAGTCTTCAGGAATGAGATTGAACATGGCGGCCCGGGGCTTCCCCTTGAGCTTGAGGGACTCGAGGTTGGGGAACCTCCGCCGCAGCCGCTCGGGACTGGTCGAGTAGCAGATAGCGATGGTGACATGCTTCCGCGAGAGGGCGTCGATCTGGTACCACTTCTTGCACACCAGCGACACGGCCTCCCGGTCACGGGGGTCGTCCACGTGCCCCAGCACGAACTCCAACGCCAAATCCGATATCGCAAAGCTCATCACCCTATTCAAGGTCGGCCGCTCCATTCCCCCAACCCTGAAACTGCCTTACCACCGGATCCGCTACCGAAAGGCAGCCGCCGGGGGCTCCATCGATTCCGACGGATCAAGAACCTTTCCTCCCGATCTAACAGCTAAAGAGCCAAACAATTCCGAGCAAATAGCAGACCCAGCAGCTAAATCCGAGGCGGAATCGGGATGTCGGAGCGGGCCATCGATCGCCGGAAAGCGTCAACCCTAAATTTCAGTGGGAATTTTTCTGGTTTTGTTTTTCTTGTCGCCTTCGCTCCGCTAAAAAGGAGGCGAGAAAGAGAGAGAGAGAGAGAGGAGATGATAACAGCAAAGGAGAAAATAATAGTACTATATGGTAGTGAGGAGAGAGGACTCGCGAGCTTTTACATTAGTTTGTCGTTTTCTGGGCGAGCCGTTGAGGCAGCAGCGTAGTAGTTAGTAGTAATCCCACCCCTCCAACAGACCGCACGATTTGGGACCGCTGCCCCAACCGTGATCCGCAACATACACGTTTCCGACCCGCACGACGGTACCCGATAGGTCGTTGGACCCGACATGGGGCCCCGCCCGTGTCTGCCACCCGTACGAGCGGGTGAGGGCGCGTGTAGACGTCGTACGCGCTCCCTCTACCAGATTTATGTTGCGAATGCTGCGCTCGCGGAGCGAATCAAATCCGACACGATTCGATCGGAAATAGGATCCGATTCATGTTGGATATGGTCGGCTATCGATCCAACGACTAGGATTGCTGCGGTCCGTTTGTCCTCTTACATGAGCCGTCCATCGATATTAGCTTACCGTTGTGATCTCGAATTGTACGGTCGTATGTAATCGTGGAATCGAAGAAGAGAGAGGGAGGGAGGAGGAGAGGATGAGGTCCGGTGGTCGGTTTCATGCGTCAAAACTAAAAGTCATTGGATGGATTCTTTGCGCTGTGGTCCGTCCTCTCGATTTCCTCAAACTATTATAGACATAATCATTGTTGTCGGGAAAAAAGATTGATATAAAAGATATCGTTTTAGTCCCGCACCATTAAAAAGATTAAAGAAGTCCAAATATATATAACTAAGGGCCTTTTTTATTAAAAAATCTCTTTTTTTTTATTTTGTTTTAGAAGGTGTTGTTGAATTCTATTTTTCCTATTTGATGTTCGCAATGTCCGTAATGCCTCTCATCACCACCTAGTCATCTTTGTCTTGTTGCATTCTATCATGTTCGCAATGTTCACAATCATCATTTTTTTTTTTTTGTTATTTTCGTCTTGTTATTGTTTCACCGTTGTCATAAAAGAAGATCATGAGAGCTATGAGAAAGGAAGTTAAGAGGAAGTTAATGAGACTTCTGTTCCCTCTTCTTTTTGATAGCCTATTATGTCAAGCATTGTCCGTGTGAATTCACCTATCATTCGGCTCCCCTAAGCTAAGCATCACCATCACCTCTATCATAGAAGGCCTCTCCCTTATGGCTACTACAAAGTACCTCCTCGACATGTTCATCGTAGCCAATGCATCTCCTCCCTCCTACTTCTTGTCTGTCATAGCTCTCACGATCTTCTCTCATGGTGTCAGATCTATCATGAAATGAAATGATAACTTTGTGATTGTCTTTAAGAGGGTAGGTGTATATAGTTACGATAGACAGACGAGGGTGATAACGGAGTCGAGGGAAGGACGATGTTCGTTATCTCTTATTTGATCATCCTTGTTAGAGCAGCAGAACGGTTCGAGGTCCTCGAAGCCATGGATTCCTGCACAAGAATAATATACGTAGCTGGCATCGATGATGAAGATATACGTGAGAACCCCCAATCATCAAAATTTTGCTTGTTGGTTTGATTACGATAGACACCGCCATAACTTTACGGGTAAACGTATCTCAAATAGCATCGCTACTTAGCACCGACGAGTTGGACTACCTATTCTCAGGAAGAGCTGATAAGGAGAGCTCATGTATTCTAACGATCGTGGACTTCTGACATCTTTAAAGAAAAGTTGCAGTCAACTCATCTTGCAGCTACTCTCGTCGCCGATACCATTGCACGGTCAATTCTCGACGCGGCCTGTTGGAGATGGAATCTGGTGCGAGAAGTAAAGCGCAAGCGTCCGTATCGTCACAGCTGGTTGCTGTTCTTGTCGTGGAGATATGTTATGTCGGACATGACGCTTGTGATGACAGCAACCAGTTAGTCAACTTCCAGTGTCAACGGACGAGGATAGATTGGTGGTTGGCTACAGTTTAGGTAACTACCACTACCGACCGTCGTGCATTTGCATCATCAAATCCAGCATGATCTGTTGCAGATAACTCTCTCAAACTCAAAAAGGAGAATTGCCTTACAACAAGCTTCCAGTATCATCAGAACATCTTATCAAATTAAATGAGTGGACTCTGTTTTCAATCTCAATTGTTGGTGCAGTTTATATAAGAAGAATTGCTGGTAACCAAAAAGACAGACCATAACACAGGTCAGAGATTTTGTCCTGCTAAATGACACGCAACTTGCACGATTAATCTTACATTCTCAAGCTGAATGCAGCAGCACGTATGGAACATGGCCGAAAAGAAATCCCTTTTACATTCTAACCTCTATGCCTTCTTGCAACAGATGCTTCTTGACCGATGAAATTGGAACCTGCATTGCCACAGTTGATATCAGTAACTTTATTTCTGGTACAGTTTAGATGGGCATTATTGATGCTTATTATAAATTGCTGCACAAGGCACTAAGTACATCAACAAATCTTTGGACGGCTACAAGGCACGACCAATTTATAGGGTCAAGTAAACTATGCCAAATTAAATGTTAGATCGAGTAGAAAGATAACATGCCCAAGGAGTTTAACCCGAAGCGCATTTCTTTGAGAGCAAGTCGACATTATGCATTCTTAGGACAATTAAAATATGAATATTGGATCCAGTAGAAGATCTAAAATATGACGTAGGACGATGATCTCACCGTGGCTCAGCTTGAAAGAAGTAATCCAAGGCACATTTCTACTAGCTTACCTTGTATATCTACATTATGTGGTTTCAAATGACTAGTATCCTGTAGCGTGTAATGATTACCTGAGAACTCTTTCAGCAAGAATAAAGATGTTTAATTTGTTGCACATTTGATTCTTTTGTGTAGTTTCTAAGATACAATTATACCTTTGGATAACAAATAGAGCAAGAAACAAATTCTGAAAGTACCTCCTTCCGATGGAAAATTCCAGCTGCAAGAGCAGCTGATGCGCTTGTCTTTTGAAAGACGTCTGAGAAGTGCTGAACAGCACCTGCACCACTGCTTGCGATTACAGGAATTGTGACAGCATCTGATATCAGCTTAATCAAGTCTATGTCGAATCCTTGACCCTGGCCTGTAATAGCAATAATCTCATCCCTTGCATGCATATTTTCCATCAAAAGAATATTCACAAACTCATCCCAAATGAGTATACTGATATCTCTTACAATTTATTAAACAGATTAAGCATGCTTAAAGATATTCAATAAGCGATGAACATAAATCATCTAAATATCCTATTGGCAATTAGATATGCAATTATTTACCATCACAATCAATGCAGTTAAGAAGTATTTCTCCAGCTCCAAGTTCTTCAACAGCTTTTGCAAGTTCATAGGCTCCAATAGGTCGCCCCTCACGTCCACCATTGATCTGCCAATAAAATATATAGATAAAAAGATCACGATGTCATATCCACTCCCATTTGAACAAGCAATTTAGTGAATATCATGCAAAAAGGTTCATCACGTTACTCAGAAAATCAGCCCTGTACATTCATTTACTCAGAAAAAAACATCACATTCTATCTAGTAGCAACAGATCGATCCGCCTAGTGAAGGCAGTCAGATTAGATTGCAGACATGAGTAACATAAGATACACAACCAGTAAAATAAGATGCAGAAATGGCTTGAAAGACTAACCGTGCACTGATACCATGCATATTCTTCACCTGACGGGCCTAAGATTTGCAAGAAAGAGAATTCATAACGATAGAACATTTTGTAGAAATAGGATGAGGAATGCAATGAGAGAGGAGATAGAACTACAAAGAAAATAGTACCTGGAGAAGAAACCTTAATGGTCTTAAATTTGACATCATTAGGGTTCCTGATATAGACTCTGCGGGGATCAATGCTTACTACCACTGCCTGACAAATAGAAATATCGCCAAGCATTGTTACAATTGCCACTAGAAAATGATATATTCTAGTGTATACTAGTCAAGAATCTAAAGATCTGGGCTCAGCAGGTAAATATCAAAAGTCAGTTAATACGAAAAAAGATACGCTCGGTTTACAAATTCCACAATCCATAAGGATATTTAACCAAAAAAAAATACTGCCACTGACTAAAAATAAAGATCCAAGAATTGGTGAATAGATCATTTTATAAGACAGTTACCTGGTTACCGTAAACTCGAGAAATCTGCTCTAGGCTGCTCTTACCAGTCTTTACCTTTAATCATCAACATGGAAAATTAGCAAAATGTAATGTTACATAGTAATGTCTCAGACACAAAAAGTATGGTAACAAATGCATAAAAAAAGGAAAGAAAGAAATCAACTGCATACGCCAGTTTTTAAATATTCTTCTGCAGCAAAAACCGCATCACTTCCAATTGAAATCTTATCTGCACCAGACCTAAAGTATTCTGATGCCACTTCCAAGCTTGAATAGTATCTGCAGAGGAAAAAGCAATCAATAGGTTAAGCCCTGGGAAGTAGACTAGTATTTGACAATAACAGAAGGACAAACAAGACTGAAATTTGACATTGTAAGCATTGGATTACTAAAGAAAATATTCTCTCTGACTAATTTAAGTCCAGAAAATTAATAAAAATCATATTTTTGTCAATCATAAAGAGATCCATCAAATTAAGGGGTGATGTTATTTTGCAGATATGATCACAGTAAGTACCATGCCCCCATGCAGATACTTCAAAACTCAGGATTGAAAATTAAATACACCATCTTCTCAAAATTACATAAACAAACTCTTTAACTCCCAAATATTTATGCAAATGACAAGAAACGAACTAAATATTGTGTGAAAACTTTATGAAAATTTCTCACTCTTGCTTTAGCACATGGTCCCCACAAAGATATTTTGATTTAAGAAACATGCTGATTTGTTCCAACATAATTTACAAGAATTTCATCAAAGGGAACCATGCTCCAGAAGTATGAAAATGTTAGTAGCAAAAAGAGTGTCATTTTGATATGCATTTAAGGAGCAAGTTACTTCACCAAATTATCATATAGTCCTACTATATTAGTTTATACTCAATATAGACAGGCCATGAAGCATGACATGAGCGTCTGGTTTCAACTAGTCAATGGAAGAGAAATGCCTTCTAGCAAATGGGATATTGACCCTCTCTAAACCTCATTGGCAGGAACCCTGTGCACAAGGCCACCCCCTTTTTTGCCAGTATACACGTCTTACAATCACAGAGGCAAACAAACAAATTATCCTCAGCGCATAAGGGCACATGCATTAATGGATAATTCAAGTGGAAAAAAATACTGACCTTCCATTCCCATCTGTGAAGTCTCGTATACCACCACCAACTGTTAATGGTACAAAAACATTTTCTGATGTGTACCGTAGTACCTACAAAACAGTATTTGTGCAGCCACAAATAATTATGCATGAACTAACATGAACAGGCAATTGCTTTGTAGGATATGTGCAATAACATCCATCACGAACCTGTAACATTGGCAAATCTCCCAAGGGAAAATCACGGAAACCAGTTATGTTCAAAAAACTAATCTGAAATATCATGTGATTGGCTCAGATTTACAGGATAAATTTCAAAAAATTAAGGTACAAATGTTAATTGATTTTTATCATAAGTACCTCATCAGCACCATCCTTATAGTACTGACCTGCTAGCTCCACTGGCTTCCCAAGGTTTCTAACCTATTGGCATGAAAAATAAGCACATTGCTTAAGACTGGGATCAAGTAAATAGAAAAGACAATCATTTTAGGCAATGGTATGGATAAATTTCAATTAATCTCTACCTCCTTGCCCCTCAGCTTCCTATATTAATTGAAATCTGCCCCACATCTCTACCTGTGCCCAATATCCTGTTCCTTAATCCCCATTTTCCAAAGAGAACATGCACCTATCTCATATTAAGCTAGACTCAACATTAGGACGACTTCACATGGATCTAGTGTAGGCTGAGTTTGAGGTGTGTTTTCTTTCTTTTTCTTCACAACTTCCACAGAATTTTAATAAATAATTTTAGGTCATAGTGTTACTTGGCATGTTCAAATAGAGAAGCTAACTTGCCAGCTTAACCTAAAGAGCTTGGGTCCTTCCATGCAAGGAACAAAAACATGAGGTACAAGGATCATCTGGTTGTTTGTTTCCCTTCAGTGAGTGATGGAGGCAAAAGTGTCCATTCCTCATTGAGCACCAGATACTTGAGACGTGGACGCCTACCAGGCAGATAATAACAAAAATTGCTATGCAGGATCCGCTATGTGAACCTCAATTGTAAGGGAGAATATTCTCTGGATCAGGAATAATTTGCAGAATATTTTCCTAACAGTTCACGGTTTGGGGCCACTGACAATAAAGGAGAGGTCGTTTGATGGTCGGGAGTTAAAGTAATATAGCTGATATGAAACTAATGTGTAGTAGGATACCAGTGCCTACGCTCATTACAAAGCGTGCAGTACTGCATGTGAAACAAAACCAAGTAAATTTCCATACCTGATGTTCATCAGAGTGCTCTCTTACATCATACTGGTCCCCTTTGGTTACTACAAGATCCCCTTTATCATTTGCCCTCACATCAAGACATGCTATCACCTGAAAGATAAATTGGCATAAAATAAAACAGTGGAATCAATTAAGAATGTGATGGGGTTTAGGCAGAAATAGGGCAAAGAATTAATATATCAATTTCAACTAGAACAAATGAAATCTCACTCGCTTTGCAAGTTGTGATGCTTTCCCATGAGCTAATTTCTATAAGACCAAAAGCTTGCAATTAATCAGATTGAAATATGAGACAAAATGCCTAAACATTGTGGGAATAGGATTACATTGGAACATCAAAGTGTAACTGTTACCTTTGAAGACGAAGAGGGATCAAGAAACTTCCTTAATATGGAAAGTCCAACATCTAGAAAATGACACTGAAGTAAGTTTCTTATGTATGGCAGCTAACTATAGTAAGTAGAAAAAGATGTCAGGGAAAGTTGATAGCCGATCATCAGGCAACATAAAGGCAGCGTAAAAACCATGAAAGAAAATAAGAAAGAGAAGGAAAAGATTTTGAAAGGATGCTAGAAGATGACAACAAGTGACCAAATTTATCTACCATAAATCACATTATTTTCACATCTCCACCAACATAATTGAGCTTGCTGAAACAGGATCCAAGAGTATTTTCTTCAAATCTTTTGTAATAAAAAGACACCCACTAGTGCCTACAGAAATAGCATGTTGAAACATCATTTAAAAATTATGGAAAGTAACTCACAAGACATATGACCGTCTTCCCAAAGTTTAAAATATTCACAGAATAGAGATCAGATCACATTTAACTTTGACAGATGTGTATTCCACTCTAATCCTATTCATGGCATAATTATTACTGGATTAGTAAAGTAATTCCCATCGTGGAACCTATCTTTCTTCCCTAAGACATCCACCACAGTCCTATCAAAGACTTAAAAGTCAAATCACACTTTCTGATAAATACGCTATTCTATTGACAAGACCTATAGGGCATCTAACAGCAATATTTAACTAGACCTGGATAATCTACCCCAAAAATACGTATTGATGCCACTAATCATGTTTGGGCATCTTTTAGTTGGAAAAAAGAAATATTACTGGCTAATTAAATATTAACATAAATCAAATTTTATTTAAAAATATTTACCTCCACTCTTTTCTGGGTGAAACTGGACAGCATGCACATTGCCCCTTGTTATAGAAGAAATAAAACTATCGCCATAATTGCACACTGATGAAACCCAGTCCCAGTTAGCATCTGACTAGGCAAAATTTACAGAAATCATTTTGGTCAAAAAATACATTAAACAAAAGATAAATGATTTTGGAGTATTCTAGTCTACTTATAGGATGAAAAAACATACAGGAATTACACGATAGGAATGAACAAAATAGACATGGTGCCTTCCAATGTCATCCAAAATTCCTGAGTCTTTGGTAATTTGAACGGCGTTCCAGCCAATATGAGGTACTGCCAGACCATTTGAAGAATCAAAGCGCCCAACAACACCAGGTATCAAGCCCAGACCTTTTACTGCAAGACAAATATTAGATTCAAAGCCAAAGATTCAGCAGCAGAATAAACGACAAAGAGTTGTTAATCTGGTTGTATGTGTAGCAGATCACTGGAAAATATTGAAACCGGGAGAATTAAAAGTGTTCAGAGAGTTGTTATTTCATATCTTATGATACTTCAGCATATAGAAGAAGCCTATCAATAGAATCATCTGAATATGTTTGTAGACCTTGTTATTAAAATGGTAATTACATTAAGCATTGAAGTGATGTAATGGAGGAACAAATTAAGCACTTGTGGATGAAATGAGCTTGAAATTTTAGCACACTGTCCATCTACTTCAAAATGGGTTGGAGATTGTAAGACAAGGTAATTTAAATGGAATTTCCAATTCTGGTACAAGTCAATTTCACCAAGTTTGGTCAACTTACCTATTTAATTTTCTTATAAGGTATTAGGGGTATTTTAATCTGAATATAGATTCAAAACATATATATTTTCAGGTGTAGAACTTACCTATTAATGTTCGAGTCCATTTTGAGTTCATTTTATAGAAACTAGGATTTTATTTGTTACAATCGAGTCCAAAATTGTGGTTCTATTTAGACTAAGAAAAGTTAATAAAGTTAATCATGAGGTTATCTCTTGCCGCTGTAATTCAACTTGCAATTCAACCTTAATTGGTTGTTATGATCATTTCATTTAAACATGACTTTTCAGTGGATGTATACTGGGTACAATCGATCCAGCAGCAGACTTCCACTTGTTTCACCAAAAACAATTCCGATATTGACATATTTTGGGCCCAATCTTAGTGCTCTATTCCATAATGGCAAAATGCATTGCACGAAAGAATCAGCGACTTGCAACAGAAGATAGCAAGACAAAAGCACAATTCTTCACCATCCAATTTAAGCCTACGTACACATTAACGTATTGTTACCTAGAAAACCTTGAATAAGTCCTTCCAGTACAAGTATCTTCCGATGAAAAGGCTGAGATAAAAATGTAGAAGGTGGAAGGACAATTTTCCTTCAACATGCTTAGCATGAAATGAACAAATTCCAAAAAGTTAATCAAGTAACTAGTGTAAAGAACTTAGGACAAAATTTACATTCATTAGCACACAAAAGCAATACATACATACATATATGTATGCATAGCTTAAGTTTCTGGGACAAATCTCACTCAGATGGCACTACAATATAAGTTCCATGAACAAACAATAGCTTTATCTATTAACTTGGTTTGAGTAAGAGAGATATCTATCAATCGAGTTTTATGGTTTATCAATATCTGACGACCATTTCCTTGCATATATCCTAATAAAAAGGGAGCATTACCTGGACCATTCTCTTCACTGGACTCAAACAATAACTGAAGCCCCAGACAGATACCCAAAAAAGGACGATCACTCTCTATGTATGTACAAAGTGCTTCAGCCATCCTGAAATAACAAGATTAACTGTTGCTAGTAGTTTCCACAATATAGGCAAGGAATTATAAAAAAACTCCTCAACAGCCATCTTATACAAACTAATGCAAATTACAATCAAAGCAACATGTCAAAATAAGGACAGTATAATAGATTTATCAACATGTACACTGCCTAAGGCATACCACACAGCATATGGAGCAACAAGAGTTTAAGAGAAAAAGATAGATTAAATATACACATAAACACTGAACTATAAATTGAATTATTTGATTAGTCAATTTAACCAATAAATTCACAAGGAAACAACAACTGTATAATTCAAACTTTTATTTGAAAACATAATGACCCTCTAGGAGAGACCCTAGTTAGTGACCACATGCACGAAACTTTCTGATGACTGTTATGATAGACAACACAAGTGAATAAATAACATGTCCAAGTACTAAAATTTTAAGAAAAAGAAGCTATGTTTATGGAGAAAAAAACAATTAGACAATCGAATATCAATTGATGTTCCTTTTGCAATCTCTTTTATTTACCAATCAACCAAATAGTAAGTGTAAGGACAATAACAAAATTTTTTGCTCCTTCTTGAGTAAAAGATTTCCTTTGCTACATTAATACTGCTACTTATCCAACTCAGCAGATTAAATTCTCTGACAATTACAAGTGAGAAGGAGTAATAACAAGCACAGTAAAGTAGCTCGATAAATAATCTGTAACAAAGTAAGATCTTTGTAAATTTTCTTATCATAGCTAAAAAGACATTTATAAGGTTCTTGAAATAGATAACTACAATTGAACAATAAAGAATACACAAGGTTGAAAGCATGACTAAAATTCTGTGGTGGATAAACATGGTTGTACTACAAAAGTCAAAGTTCCAAATATACTGATATGTAAAGCACAAATCATGGTTATCATAGACCTTTATGAATATATCGAATAAGACCAAGGAAGTCCAGTCATGGGCCACAATGGCTAACAAATGCAAGCCATAATAACAAGGTAGCACTTACCCACTTTGCTCTAACACCTCCATTGCTGCTGCAAAGGCCCCAACCCCAGGAAAAACAAGCCGATTAGCACTGAGTATGTCTTCTGGCTTTTGCACCTAAAAATGTAACAAGTTCATTTCAATGATTAATCAGCTAATTTCCTCATGTACAACAGAATATGAAATGGATAAAATATAATTGTGAGATATCATGAACAGGACAAGGGTAACATTGAAGTTAGAACAGTTACCAACCCTGGTCTCAAGTATGGAAATTGATTTAAAGATTATCTACTTACGCTTCAACATTAACCAGAGTAAAGCGATGGATTGTATAAAAAAAATATAAGCACAAAAATATAGAATTGGAATTAGCAGAAAATAGCACAGAACCTATTTTAATAGAAACGGCAATATATATTTTTGTTCTCAAAATTCTTGATTAATAGAGGAACACAAAACCTCAGTCTATAATGAAGTGTAGACAGAGCCAAATTAAACATCACCAAGCAAATAAACAAGAAAAGATATTGAAAACAAGGGGCACCACATGCATGAAAACTGAAAAGAAAATGAACAAATGCAGATATGATGATTTCCACATTTTGCTAAAAAGTTCGAACAGTGTGCTTGACATGGCTGCAGCAAAAAGTTTTCAGTAACAACAGAAACAAGGAGAACCTTTCAACAGTAATTACTATTTTAGAGAGGCATTGATCATGATTGGAACTTGCTCGAAAGTGTTGGAAAACTAAAACATGAGGAAAAAAAAACACTAGAAGCTACAGCTTACCACAAAAAATTCAGTTTAGAAGAAAACAGGGGTTTGCTAAGCTACATATCAACCTATATATTTGGCTGATCAGTATATATGAGCTTACCATTTTATCCTTCGATGGAATATCCTGTACCTCAACGTGGAGTTCTATGTTTGAATTACACTTTAAGAGGTTGCAACTTGCATATGCCTTTTAGACCTTAAGTACTAAGCAAATTATTCCAAGAAATGATAAAATCTTACTTGCATGAAACAAATACAATAGATGAGGAACTAAAAATTGATCGCCATGATCCAACCAATAAAAACTCACTTCCTCCTAACACATCCAATGACATCTTGAACAGCGATTTCAATAGATGCTCGGGCGCTCGCCTAGGCGCTCGAGCAAGGCAAGGCAAGGCTCGAGCGCCTCGCTTCATGTCCAGGCGCCATGCTTCAAAGAGACGTCATTGGGCGCTTCGGGCGAATGCCCAGGTTAAACTAGGCAACCCTGGTGCTTTAGTTGGTTTAATCGAACCAACTAAAGCATCAATATCAGCCTCCGAACATCCCTCTCACGACTTCGCCAACCCTAACCCTACTGGCGATTCTGTCGTCGACATTTCCTCTTTGTTGTCGTTGTCATTGCCTCTCTCTGCTGTCGCTGCTCTTCGCTACCACTACTACTGTCGCTGCTCGCCACTGCCACTATCGCTGCTCGTCGCCGCCACTGTCGCTGCTCACCGCTCCCACTGTTGTTGCTCACCGCTGCTGTCGTTGCTCGCCGCTCCTGCTCCTGCTACCGTTGCTCGCTGCTACCGCTACCGTTGTTCTCAGTCAGTAGCATCGGTCTTACTCTTACGCTACGCTCTCACTACCGCTGCCACTGCCACTATCGCTGCTCGCCGTTGTTGTCGCTGCTTGCCACTATTGCCGCTCTCGCTGTTGCTACTCGTTGCTCGTCGTTGCTGTCTTACTCTTACTCACATCGACTCGATAGTATATTGTTAACAGTATATTATTAATTATATACTAGTAACAATATTTTTTATCTATTAGATTAATAATATATTATTTTGATACTATTAATTTTTATTTATTTGAAATTATTATTGTTTTGAATTTTAAGACTTTTTGTTAATGTGATATTGTGATTTTGCAATGTTTTATTAATTTAATATCATTTTTTAATTTAAATAATTATATTTATTAATTATATTATGTATTTTTATATTTTAGCGCTTCGTTTCTCTCAGGTGAGCGCCTAGCGCCTCGAGCGTTTTTGGACCTTAGCGCCTTTTGGTGCCTAGCGCTTTTTAAATCATTGATCTTGAATCTTATGATAGGTCAAAAACATAAGCAATACTTAAAGACCAGAACAAACATGAACGGCTCATGCAATATAACTTGAGCATATAGGCAACTAAAGTTTGATGTGCTTTCTTAAGAAACCATTAGGACCTTAGCACCTAAACAAACTGCAAGTGAGTGCATTAGAACAAGACTATACATAGACCACAACAACATTCATTCAGCATATTTCCTTCTCCCAAACGCATAATGCAACAAAATCATTTTATATGTTGAACATAAAGATCAGACCTCCATAGACTAAGGAAAAGCAATTACTCTCACCATATGATGACTGAATCTTAAGAAACCAACACCAACACGACCTTTTCATAGACAAGTTAAAGGCTCTTAGTTTAATTGAAAGGACAAGTTCAACAACTGCTGGCCTCGTACTTCCAGAGTATCCCTAACTGTCATGTGATCAAGCATTTAAAACAACAGTAATAGCACAAAAACATCCGTGAGCGAGAAAATATTTTCTTTTTTTAACCAATTCTTCCCAATATGTACAAGGTCCTCAGCTTGTCAAGCTTCAAACAGGAGTTTGGAGGAACCATGAAATATCCAAGAAAGAGAGAATAGGGAGACGAGAGCGCGCAAGAAACGCTTACATCTTTAATATCGAACCCTAAATAGCGGATAGCATTGCGCAAGCTTCGGACATTTCCAGCGCCATAATCAAGCAAAGTAACAGCTGCAGCAGCGACACCCCCGAACAAGAAAGAACACGAAGAAGAGTCATGGACAAGCACGAAAAACAATCCATTGGGAAAAGAAAAACGAGGGCAAGGCTTCTTACTGGAATCCGAAGACAAGGAGGCGCAGATGGAGAAAGGCTTCGTCTTGATACGCGAATAGGGTTTTGTTGGGCTCAACGCTCGACGAAGGGTGAGCGGAGGCGAAGGACGGACATGGATGGAGACACCTCGCGAGGAGGAAAGAGCCGGCGCATCCATCGGGTCGGCCGACGAGGGCAGGCCGTCGGGAGGGAAGGGTGATGTCTAACGGCGGCGGCTCGAGTTGAACGAACCACGAGTCGCCAAAGGTTTTAGGCTACAAGACTGGGAAATGGCTCTCTTTTGCCGGAGATGGATCCTCTCCAAATGCATCCACACCGTTCGCCATTCAGGCTCCACGTGCTTCGTGTGGGGCCCACCTATTGACCGGTTACATGAGATCCTAAGCATGGGGACCAGCAGTTGAGTGGCCAGGTAAGAATCGGGTCCAGAATCCCAAACCCAACCTTTGTCCCACACGCCGCCAGCTCAGCCCAGCCCAGCTCAGCCCAAAGAAAGGCTCATATAAGATGCCGGCCGGCTAAGCGTTCGGCATGGCGACGCCGGAAGCCCCGATGAAAGCCCTCGACTTCGAGTCGTCTACGGCTTTGTTGCCGTCGTACTTCTCGACGGGGCAACGCCCATACTCCGGCCTTCGCAAATCCCTCGCATCCTCTCTGGTCCGTTCTTGAACTTCTTTTATCAGTGTCTTCTTATATTTACTCCTTTACTTCACTCGAATCAAGTGCTTGAGCGATCACCGGACGGATAACGGAGGGTTATCCTATCCTCTCGAGTCCTTTTCTATTATGCTCGGAATAGTTCTACATGGTTCTCGATGGATGCATTCTTGTAACTTCTTGACATCTCAGCATGGTTTATTAGGGTTTGGATTCCTCTAGTTCACTTCCTAATTTTCCGTTTCCTTCGTTCTCTTTTTAGCCATTAACTCGTAAAAAGAGAGCCAAAAACTGTATTGATGCGACCGCTCCTGGGCTTCCCATGTTGTGGCTGTTGTCAGATCCATTGTGCTATTGAGTTCTTTCAGTTGCTCCGAGCATAGATATCAGAATGGGATTGGATCGGGTGGTCGCAATGGAAAAATTGGGAACCAGACCATTGAACTAATTGAGCATATGTAAGTAGAGTGTTTTGCTGTTGGATCAGAAATTAATTGAACTAATGAAACGTATCATTGTTATATATATGCATATGTAAGTTTTCTTTTCTCTAGTTGTGGAATGTAGGGTACTACTAAATTTACCATGAATCAGAAATATACTATACAAAATTCAATTTGGAAATGGTAGACATGAAAATGCCGTGACCGCACATGCATTATGGTCATTTCTTTTGTTTGATCCTGTCCCCTTGTAGGTTGATTGTGTATTTTTCATAATAATAAGGGAGCTTTCTTTATCTAAGTCTTGATAAGGCAACCTGGTGGTGCAGGACAAAATGAGATTGCTTTGTACGTGGAAGATTCCATGATGTTGGGATTCGGAAGAAGTTTTTGGACTATAATCATATGCCATGATTCTGTGCCCAAATTGTGGAAGGCTGACAGCAGTATTGAATGGTATCTTAATAACAAGGGGACGATGAAATGTAAATATGAAGGCAAGAAATGAGTTAAAAACTTCGGCTGGTTTTTGGATATCTAAAGTTTGAGGAGTTCTTTATGTCGAGAAGTTTTGGTAGTCTTTCTTAGGCAAGGACAAGTGTAGCACCTGCTAGGTGATTGCGGAAGCATAGCATGCAGAGATTGGATAGCAGCTTCACAGAGGTAAATGGAAAATGTCTCCAATATAATAAATGCATATACACTTATGTCTCTAATGTAATGCAAGTGTCATAATTAATGTTGCATTTCATGGCAGCCACCCCGTGCATTAATGGTTGGCAAAGTTGATTGTGGTGGATCGGTGGCTTTGATCCTACTATTTGGGTATGAGGTCCTATCTTCTGTGCCATTTGCTCATGCTTCAATTTTAATACAGTTTTTTCCTTTAATTTGCTTGTTCTATTGTTGGTTGTATTGAAGTAAAATTGATCCTCCTGTGCCATTTGCTCATGCTTCAATGTTACTACAGTTCTTTCCTTTAATTTGATTGTTCTATTGTTAGTTGTATTGAAGTAAAATTGATCCTCCTGTGCCATCGAAACTATTTATTGCACTTTTTTGGCTGATAAAACTAATTTGCCAGTCAAACCACCAATTCTAATTTTTTAAGTTGCCGTGCAGTCCTTCTCATATTCATGGAAACTGTGTATTTAATAAATACTAGAGCCTTATATTACATCTGAGCTCAACCACTGATACCAGAGATGTTTTGCCTGTATATTTTTTTTATTATTATATAGTTCCAAAGAATCTTTTTCTGAAGTTTGGGATGGAAAGGACTTTGCATTTTCTTATTTATTTTTTAACCACCAAACCACCTTTCATTTTTAGCAGCCACAAATATTGGGAACATTTTTATAGTATTCCTGTCATCCAGTTCTTTTTCCTTATAGGTATGGTTCCTAAAAATTCAAATGATCCTAAAACATTCTAAATCTAATGTCAATGCTAAAATGCTGATATTTATGTGAGGCTTTGCATATGAAAATTTGACCCCCTCGTATTCTTTTTCCGAGCATCTACTTATTTCTTTTAGCAGTCTATTTAAATTTCCAGGTTTTGGAGGACATAATTTTAAGGATTTGATGGGACATGCAAATTATAAGTTTTAGAAATTTTAAATTAGACTTTTGGATCTTTGTAATGGATGGAGGATCTTAAGAAAAAATACCAATCGATTGGATTATATGTAGTATCAGAAACCAAGTAAAAATATTACAATATGAAAGAAAAGCAGGTTAAATGCTTTGTATTTATCTGACAATGGCATGGTAGGTGACATAACTAGTGCTTGTCACTATCTGAAAATTGAGAGGTAAATATTTCAAGAGCAATTGCCGGGAAAATATCCTCTTTCTGGGTTTTTCCTGAATAGTGTCTCCCCATCAAAATTCCCAAACAGTGATCCCTTATTTCTAATCTTTCAAAAATGTCCATTCAAAAAGCTGTCATTTTTTCTGGTCCAAATCCAAAAAAATTTTCCGCTTACGGTGTTTTGTAGGTTGATTTTGATCCACAAAATACTATATAGTATTTTAAAAACAGTCTATGGTGTTTTTGTTTTAAAAACACTATATTGTATTTTTAAAACAAAAACACTATACAGTATTTTGTAAAACACTAGAGAATTTGAGTAGGAAAATATATAACAACTTTTGGGGGTATTTTTGGGATCTTTTAAATAGGGGGTTGCTGTTGAAAATTCTGATAAGGGAATACCATCCCCCCCAAAAAAAGTAAGAAAGAGAGTATTTTTCCGAACAATCCTTCATATTTCAGAAAAAAAAAAGAAGGTTAGATGCTTTGTACGAAATTATTCTTAATTGTCTATGTTCATTCTTACCGAAGAATAGTCACTGCCATTGTGTTTATACTGCTAACTGTTGAACAATTCAGTAGCATTCACTAAATAGAATAATGTATGAGAATGATTACTCGCTCCATATATCTGACCATTGCTGTAACAATTATTTGGACCATTACTAATGACAACAAATATTTCAGGTCACCTTTCTTTCATAAGATGCTGAACTTTATTTTGTGATTGAAATATGATGTTCTTTTTTTCTGGATCCGGACAGGTGAGGCAGAAAGGACGGCCGCTAGCGGTTGGAATGCTGCGACGCTGCTGGGGTCCTCTCAGCTCAGCTGCTTGCGAACGAAGGAGCATCTGTGGGGCATCCTCCGTGGCCCAGAAATCAAAACCAACCGAATCCGTATGTCTCTGGTAGATATTTCTTTGCCTCTTCCTTGTGCTTTCTTACCGTTTAAATTACTGTGAGGTGCAAGCTTAGAGTGTTAAGAGTGTCTCTAGTTGATACCAAGAACACGGCTCTTACTAGTGAGATAACGTGAGAACTGCGAACGAAGGGGTATTAACGTGGCTTAGTTCTTTACCTTTAGGCACGACGCCATTGACCGAGGAGATTAAAATCTCGCTCGAGCGATGTCGACAGGCGTTTGATTTTATTTCCGATTTCTTACCTATCGGTATCGGTTTCTGTGATAGCAACTCGTGCAGGATACTGACATTATCGAGAAGCCTAATGTCAGCCGTCAAATCTGAGTTCTTTAATCGATCATAAACATAGTCAAACGTCGGGTGGTAGTCTGATGGGCACAAGTGAGGTTTGGCGTCTACGCTCGCAGCCCATTTCTAATTTGTCCCTTGCTTTGTTATTTCAAATCTCCATTTGAGCATGCGATATCACATTCATTCGGCCAAAAAAAGAAGGGAACCTTTTGTAACGCTAGCGAACAAGTTGGCCAACTGGAATTCTGTTGTACCCTTAGTATGTGTTGCAGCCATGACAACCACATGGAAAGTGAACATGATTAAAGGTGTTCGATCTGGATTTAAACAGATGGTGTCGTGTTTTGAAAAATTACTCTTTGCACCAGTCTTTGAACCCTTCCAATTGTGCGCCAAGCCATCTTAAATGGTTCTCGGTAATCAACTAATTGATTTCCGGTTATACATAGGATGGATGTCCAGTTCAGTAGTCCATGCATGGGGTGACCACAGGGACGTGTGGGGGAAGCCTCACACAGGAGTGGTTCAAATTGGAACTAAATTGGTCTGAAATTGAAATTGAATCAGGTGAAATCGGGTCCAAAATGAAACCGATGTTTCCTCCCAAGCCGCATCCTTTTACCGCACAGGCAAAGGGGCACGGCACTGTCATAACCAGCGGTGCCACGTGAAGGGGAAGTGGACGCCGCGTGTATTTAGTAAGTAGCTAACATGTTTCATTCTCCCTCCGCGAGAGGGCACCGAGGCGCATGCGGTAAAAGGTGCGTCCGGTCACGGTAAACACACTGGTCGTTGATCCCCCCAATCACCATTGCTGATTTATAATTTATAAGTAAAACATGTATAAGCCAAGACGTGTGCGTATATAAGAGCAGGTGTTCTATAGGGATGCGCCCCGGGGACAAAACATGGCCGTGGCATCTGGCCCAGATTGCATTCTACTAGTGTCGATCTCGTATCCTCTACTCTCTGTCTTGGTTCTTGTTCCGGTTTCCTCTTTCTCCGATCTCTGAAACCGAGAGTGAGAGGAAGTTTCCCTTTTAGATCCAGTCCTTCCCGGGGTCCGGCGAGAAGAGGGATATTACCTGTGCCTGTAAGCTTCGGTGTATCGTGAGCAGGGGGGCGGGAGATGGGAGTTCAGGTCGCAGCGACTTGCACGCGGTGGTCGCAGCTGTCGCCCACCAACTCCCTGAATTCCTCCCAGGTCGCTGCCGCAGTCTCGCCTCTCGGCTCCAGCAAGCGGATGGGTGCTGCTGCCGGTGTCTGCGACTGCGTCCTCGCGTCTGCCTTCCTCGGTGCCGGCTCTGGCAAGCTGTTGAGGGCTAGGTCGTCGGAGACTCACAGGGGTCGTGGAAGGCGGAGTCGGCAGCAAGCACTACGCCGGCCCTTCAGTGCCAGCCTTGAGCACTTCGCAGCACAGGGTGGCGACGAGGAGGAAGAGGAGGAGTTTCTGCAGAGGCTCGAGGGATTGGCCCTCGAGCTGCAACAGGAGCGGGCAGATGGCAGCGAAGACTCGGTGGCTCATTCCGAGTCATGGAGGAGCGAGGAAGGCGATGCCTCGGGATCCTTTTCGTGCTTTGGCTCCGAGTTTAGCCCGGTAATTTCTCCTGTGCCCTTTTCGTCGACAGAGCTGCAGTGGCTGCCCGTCCTGCCGGAGACGCCGGACTGGCCCGACCAGATTGTGCCGCCCAGCGTGGAGAGGAGCGCAAACAGCGTCGAGCTGCCGCTGTCGCTGCGTATCATAAAGAGGAAGAAGCGTCGGGAGGATGGGTGGTTCCGGGAGACGGGCGAGTCGGCCTGCTGCTCCGTGAAGCGGGCCTTCTCGTCCATGGTGTTCATGATCCGCGAGCTCCAGAGCTACACGCTCCAGATGCGGGAGGTGCTCTGCCGCGAGGACCTCCAGGGAATTCTGGCGCGGGTGAAGCGCGAGATGAACTCCTCCTTCGTCTGGCTCTTCCAGCAGATCTTCTCCTGCACCCCGACCCTTATGGTCTCGATCATGCTCCTCCTTGCCAACTTCACCGTCTACTCCATGGGCCACCTCGACGCTTCCGCCATGTCTGCGCCCGATCCGCCGACCCAACAGTCGCTGGTCGAGACGGTCGTGGTGGAGGAGCGTCGCCAAAGTCATCATAACCAATCCTCCATCGTCAAGACGTTCTCCTCCACCGGGCGAACTGCATCCATCGGAGGTAGCGGCGCCGGCGGTGGAGGGAAAGCAAGGCCGGTCGCGGGGGCCACGGGAGACGGGCAGCCCGATGGCGGATCCTCCGCTTACTCGACGATCCTCCCCGACGGGATCTCGACGGCTTCGGGGGCGGTGAACGCCGAGGAGGGGCAACAAAGTGCGACGGAAGATGGCGCGTTGGTGGCGGTGGCAGCAGCGAGGGCGGAGGAGGAGGCGAGGGTTTGGAAAGGGATACGTGAGGAAGTGGCAAGTATACAGTCGAGCACGAGGGACGAGGCCCTCATGGACCCGGAGACGGTGCGGCGGTTGGTCTCGCCTGTGGCAGTGGAACTGGAGCCGGACGACTACTCGGGCTACCTGCGGACGGAGATCATGTACCAACACGCCCTGTCGCAGGACCCGGAGAACGCGCTTCTACTCGCCAACTTCGCTCAGTTCCTCCATGTCGTCCACCACGATCACGACAGGTAACCTGGATTGCTGCCCCCCCGCAAGCTGTTTGTCGAATTGTCTCACAGAGATGCCGAACCCTCGCCATGTGTGCTGGAGGAGAGAGGAATAAGACTGGCTTGGGCATGTGACAGGGCGGAGTACTACTTCAAGAGGGCGGCAGGGTTGAAGCCGGCGGACGCAGAGGCATTGGGTCGGTATGCGAGCTTCCTGTGGCTGGCGAGGAAGGACCTGGAGGCAGCGGAGGAGACCTACTTGGAAGCCATCGCCGCGGACCCCGGCAACACCGTCCACGCAGCGAACTACGCCCACTTCCTGTGGAGCACGGGCGGCGAGGACACCTGCTATCCCCTTGACGACGGCAACAACGATGCATGGTAGCTGCAGGAGATCAACACGATCTCTGCCTCCACAAACAATGGTAACGCCGTAGAAGCCCAAGAAAGGCTGTGCGGCTCAACTATTCCTGCTAAGACGAAACCCAAATCAAAGGCCGATCTATTTCTGGTCTGGTCGAGTCGTCTTTGCGAGGCTGGGATGGAGACCGGGTCAATAATCGGATCGACCAAACCATGTTTACTTGGTTCCACTTTACAGCAGCCCAGCCCAGTCGGCTACATAATGAACCCAAATCAAATGCTCAAGTAAAATTGCATCCCAGTCGCAATGATTACGGTAGTAAAGCATCTCAATGAGTGTACAAAAACAAGAGAGAGAGAGAGAGAGATGCTTCTAATTTCCAATAATCGAAACTAAATCGTATGGCACTGATTCATTCAAGTGATTTTGGTTCTAGTTTTCAAGAATATGATATCATTCGGAATCCAATTCCTATGTATGTGTGTGTATGTATGTATGTATCTGTAATATCTGATCATGCCAAATCTTCGAGTCAATTATCTTACACTTTAGACTGAGATATGACTCGAAATCGATTTGAAGTGGGGAGGGTTTGTACCACGAACGACTCGAGACGACAATTGCATGTCCGGCATCTTATTCGATCGTCCTTTTTCTTTCCCATCTTTGTCCAAAGTGACATCAATCAACCCAACCGAGTTATGAGCAGTGCGCTTTGATTAGGGAGCGGATTTCAAGCACTGCACGCGTGCAGCAGCTCCTCCTGTGCGCGATGCCTCAGCCTCTCTCCTTCCATCGTCGACAAGAGTATTTTGAGGAGCTCTGCTCGATCATGGCCGGCAGTTGGAGAGCCTCATTCAAAAGATGGTAGATTAGAGGCACTGAAAGGGTTTAGTCCTCCTGTGCTCTCATCTCTCCGTGGGTGGCCCAACCGACGACGCCACCCCCGACACCAACGTATGAAGAGCAAACGGTTAAGATGAAGAATCTCCCACAGTGGTTTCGCTGTTCCAAGGCTTCGGTGGGTAGACAAGACAAAGATTTCATTACTCCACATCCCATCACCCTCACCCTTAATCCATGTCCAGATATCTTCCAGTGTATTCTAACGGTAGCATACGATCGACAGCCATTGAAGGGCGAGGAGCAGCGCTAAGACCACCAGAGGCATGGTCTATCACTGAAGGAGACGGGATGGGTGGAACACTTGCATGGTTGTCGCCCATTAAGTTGGGCAGGAGGCAGATGACCTCTCCGGGCTTCCTTTTCCCGATGGGACACACCACCATGTGCGGATCGATCTCGCCTTATCGACATCTCTGAGGCGGACAAGAGGGAGACAGGGAGGGGGTGTGAAGGTGGAGCAGGCAAGAAGAGGTGGCCGTGATGTATCTGCCTATCGATGCCTTCCGCATTCCTTTCTCTCCCAGCATCATAATGGCGAGGCTTGAACGTCTGAGCACCCAACAAACGATGCCATGCAGCCTGCAACCAAGCTCATAACCTGCTGCCTGCATGAATGCATGGCTGCTCCTCTCTCTCTCTCTCTCTCTCTCTTGTGGCCTTCAAAGACTGACGGCACACGTGAGTGGGGAGCAGTGAGAGTCATCCAAGTGCGCCTCCCCCTCATCTTTGCACTCCCCGTCTTCTTGCTTCTCGACCTTTTCACACATGTGCTGCCTCTGACTGCCATGCACATAAAGAGAGACCCAGTTGTAAACATGGGTCATTACCCTACAAAGCCGCCTTCTCCTGCTTCAATCATGTGGTCCTTCCAAGGCACAAATGGAGCCACTGACAGTAAGTCCCAAGAAATGTGATGGAGCGGACGAGAACTACATGCGCTTGCAGGTAAGACTCAGCACCGAGGGATGGCGGAGAGGCATGGGAGGAATGGAGAGTGCAGGAGATTGGTCCTCCCTCTGTAAGTTGCCCATCCCACCCACTCGCTCGAGGATGACCCCTATGCGACTCCCATACGAATCTTATTGTCATCTCCAATAAGTATTTTCGAACAAATAATTGCCACTTCTTTCTTTATATGTTTTCGTTGTTTGTGGACCACAAATAGAGGATGTTTGACCCAAAAGGCCATTCAAGAGGAAAAGCAAACTTAATGAGGAAAGCAACACAGGTTTTTCTCTTCTAGCTTATAGCTTCCTGAGGTCCAAAAACTATTCACAAGCATATGGATGGATGGATGGAAACTGATGACAGGAATTTGTTGGCTGAATCGGATATGTGTAATCTTTTTGGTGGATCCAAATGATCACAATCCTTGAAACTTATTGAGATTTATGATAAGCTATTTGCTTTTTGAGACCAACAAAAAGCAAAGATCGGAGGCATTTATGAAGGTGTGAAGCGATGGACCCATCCAGCTAAGACTTTCCTGCACTCTCTGCCATCATATACCTTCTGCTGCTGCTGCTGCGGCTACTCTTACATCCCTCGTCTCAGTTTACGTGCTCCCCCTTTTAACTCCCCAGCAGCGATTCTTGTGAAGAGAGCACGGTGAGCGGCAGCACCAACGACCGGGAGGAGGACTTGCAAGTACGTTTCGGCTAAAAGGCTGCCACCAGCACTCGATCCCTCCTCGTTGCTCGAGCTCCGAGCAGCGTATGTTTACTGCGGCTTCGGCCCTGTCTTCGGCGCGGATGAGCGCTTCGCAGTCTCTCACACGGAGAAAGATGTAGAGGAGGTGCAATAAAGGAAGGCAGGTCGGATCAGTGCTGAGAACGAGAAGCGCAGAGGAAAGAAAGGTGAGGAATCCAATCCGTGTCTCATTCGCCTCCTCTCCTACTGTCGTCGGTGCCGTCTTTATTGTTCCTCTCTGTGATCCAGATCTTACGTCGTGTACCGTGATTCGTCCAGCTTCGTCGCCGCTGCTGTCGGGAGGAAGAGGAGGCGAGCCGGGAAAGGGAATCTCGGGGCGACGCTCGGAGACCGAGGAGAAGATGGTGCCGCAGAAGCAAGCGGAGGAAGCTGCCATCGTGGCCAGCGGCATTACTACCCTCAACAACGAGACGGAGCACGGAGATGGCGACGGCGGGGGGGGCGGCAAGGAAGACGACGGAGAGGAGGAGTCCATACTCAGCATGAAGAACCTCCTCTGGCACGGCGGCTCCGCCTGGGACGCCTGGTTCAGCTGCGCCTCCAATCAAGTACTCCACGCCGATCGATTATATATCCATCGAGATCCTTTCGTGTTGTTCTTGCTAGTCTCCGCTGATCGATGGAGTTGTCGTCGTCGTGTGGGATACCGGTGGCGATGTTGCAGGTGGCGCAGGTGCTGTTGACGCTGCCGTACTCGTTCTCGCAGTTGGGGATGCTGTCGGGGCTGATCCTGCAGCTGTTCTACGGCTTCCTCGGCAGCTGGACGGCGTACCTCATTAGCGTTCTCTACATCGAGTACCGCACCCGAAAGGAGAAGGAGAAGGTCAGCTTCAAGAATCACGTTATCCAGGTCAGCTCCCCCATCTCTTCTTCCTCGGTGCCCACTCTCGATCTTGATTTGCTTTCCACCTTTAGAAGAAAAAGGTTCCTTCTTATCCCCATCTACACCCAACTTCCCAAAGATTCCATGTGACCTCTCTCGCCCGTTTCATCTGTGACAGTGGTTCGAGGTGTTGGATGGGCTGCTGGGGCCGTACTGGAAAGCCGCCGGCCTCGCCTTCAACTGCACCTTCCTCCTCTTCGGCTCCGTCATCCAGCTCATCGCCTGTGCCAGGTACTTCTTCCTTTCTCTCTCTCTCTCTCTCCATCCCTCTCCTTCGTTCTGTGATCTGATCCGGTGGCGGAGCAGCAACATATACTACATCAACGACCGGCTGGATAAGAGGACATGGACATACATATTTGGCGCCTGCTGCTCGACGACAGTGTTCATACCCTCCTTCCATAACTACAGGATATGGTCATTCCTCGGCCTCGGCATGACCACGTACACCGCCTGGTACCTCACCATCGCCGCCGTCGTCCATGGCCAGGTTAAGTAGATGGCTCGATCAGCTTGGTAGAATCTAGTTGGTCTGTTGGTTCATCGTCCATGAGGAGGAATGACGACGACGAGGTGCCTTTTTGGATGGATGATGCAGGCGGAAGAGGTAACCCACTCGGGTCCAACGAAGCTGGTGTTGTACTTCACGGGCGCCACCAACATACTCTACACGTTCGGTGGCCACGCCGTCACCGTGTGAGTGTTCACTTCGACTTTTCCGTGGGCTCCGGTCCCGGTCTCCATCTCGATCGCAGTAAAGAACTACTCTGTTTTCCGTCGTCTTCCTTGTGCAGGGAGATCATGCATGCCATGTGGAAGCCGCAGAAGTTCAAGAACATCTACCTGCTGGCTACGGTGTACGTGTTCACGCTGACGCTGCCGTCGGCGGCCGCCATGTACTGGGCCTTCGGGGATCAGCTCCTCACCCACTCCAACGCCTTCTCGCTGCTGCCCAAGTCGGGGTGGAGGGACGCGGCGGTGATCCTCATGTTGATCCACCAGTTCATCACCTTCGGCTTCGCCTGCACCCCGCTCTACTTCGTGTGGGAGAAGGTGATCGGGATGCATGACACCAAAAGCATCTGCCTCCGCGCCCTCGTTCGTCTCCCGGTGGTCGTCCCCATCTGGTTCCTGGCCATCATCTTCCCCTTCTTCGGCCCCATCAACTCCGCGGTCGGGGCGCTCCTCGTCAGCTTCACCGTCTACATCATCCCCGCCATGGCTCACATGCTCACCTACCGAACGCCATCCGCGCGGCAGGTAAGCTCGCTATTACACCCCCCCTGTAGTTTGGATTTGATCGATGAACTATTATACAATGTATCCCACCCCACGAAACGGCTGTAGCCGCAGCTCCTAACAGAGATGGTGTAGTGCGGGAGACTTGTGTCGTCCGACGACCGTAGAGAGTTCTCATTCTCATCTTTGCTGTTGTTGCAGAATGCTGCAGAGAAGCCTCCCTTCTTCCTGCCCAGCTGGACGGCGATGTACGCGGTGAACGCCTTCGTGGTGGGGTGGGTGCTGGTGGTCGGCTTCGGGCTCGGCGGATGGGCGAGCATGACCAACTTCGTGAGGCAGGTGGACACCTTCGGCCTCTTCGCCAAGTGCTACCAGTGCCCCAAGCCGCAGCCACCGCCCGCCCCTGCTCCTCAAACGCTGCAACAGCAGCATCATCACTGATCCAGCTGCTGCCCTCCCTACCACGTCCTTCATACATCAAATTTCCTACTCAAATGTTCGGGTTTGTGATGTCTCTCTATTCACCTGTAATGTACTAAGGGGAGAAAAAGAAAGGAATGCTCTCCATTTGTTTTGAATGCTTTGCTGTGGGTTTCTGCCCTAGAATCCTATATATCCTTTTCAATGCCGTGGACAATGATTGGTCGCTGGTCCTGTCAGAGTACAGTGTGATTGCATATGGTTGATACTGAAAAGGCCACACTCTCTTTGGCTTCATACGGACATAGTT